ACCCCTCGTGTCTCGATGCCAGTTGGGGATCTCTTCGCAGCCGTACTGGCAGAATGCCTCCAAGTCGGAGCAGTTTTCGCTGGCAAAGAACTTGAGCTGCGCCGCCAGTCCGAAGCTTAGGATCGAGGAAATTCTATCGCCGGCCGCTGCTGCGTAGTCGACCGAACCCTCCAGATGGCTTAGCGCCACAGCCACCGGGACCTGGACGTGCCCGATAAAGTTGGCATACAGCATGTAACCCCTAGCCATGGAGAAGGGGTCGCGGTAGCGATCAAGTAACTCGATGCAGACGTTGCCTACCTCGACGGCGAAGGTGACCATGTTGAATCTAGCCAGAGCAATCAGGCCGAGATGGAGGAACGCCATCCCTGACTGCGGAAAGGCGCCATGGGTGAGATGTAGGTCTAGCATGACGAGAGAGAGGTGATAGAAGCGCAGGTAGTCGCTCCACCACGCGGCACTAACGGTCTCCGCCAGGACGGCGCCGACAGATGGCAGAGCAGGGTCCAATGACTGGGGCGGATTCAGAAGTTCATTCTTGTCCATGGTTTGTATCTTGACAGACATCTTCTCGAACTGGTCGTCACAGTTCTCGAATGTCGGATTATCGTCGAACTGCACATCCAGAGCATGTAGACATTCCTTGAGTGACTCGAGGGCTCCTTTGGCGTCGCCGCATTGCGCGAGGGTTCTGGATTGCAGGACATAGGCTGGCGCCTTGTCGAGGGGGCTGCGCGCGCACTCGAAGATGGTGTCGAGCAGAGCGTTGGCGGCTACATGGTTGCCCATGTAGAGGTAGCATTCGGCAGCTCTCAGGTGCAACTGCATAGTCTCATCGTAGGAGACGTCCTCAAGCTCGTCATTCCAGGGGTCCGGTTGGAGGAGTGCGACCGCCGTGCTGTATAGCTTAGAGGCAGTTGGACGGGCGCAGTTCTCGACCGCCGCTTGGGCGCACTCGAACAGTAGCTTACGATATGGCCGGCGCTTGAAAACGCGCTTCTTAATAATATCAACAGACTCGCAAATATGCGAGGCTGTGTTGTCTTTCGCCTTGGGGTCCGCCGAATAGTACTTCAACAGTGTCTGTGCAATTACAAAATGCATCTTGCGCGCGTTGCACTCTTTCAGCGCTGCCGACGCCTGAATGAATCGGTCGTGAGCAAAGCGGAACCTGTCGTCTGTCTCGCTCGGTATGATGATATATGCCTGGACAGCCGCTTGTAACCCGTTGATTGCCTCCTGCTGGGTATAGGATGCGTGGTATTGCTCGTTGCCTGGTCCTCGACAGCTGGCCTCGTCTTCGCCTTCGTCTTCATACTGAAATTCGCCGCTCAGAAGTCGTGAAATGAGCTCAAATGAAAATGATGACCCCAATAGAGCAGCCCAGGCGAGAATTGCTCTGGATGCCGGCGGCAGCTCGTTTAGCCTGCGGGTGATGAAGCCAGTGTCGAGTATATCGTAGTCGCTCGCACCCTTGAAGTGCTCGAACAGCCTGTCAAGGTCGAAATGCCAGTTGCTGTCCCTATAGTCGTACCATATGCACCTTTTCCTATAGCACGCACTCAGCATCTCCCGCATATAAAATGGGTTGCCTGCTGTTTTTGATTGAATAACGATCGCCAACGGAAGAACCTCCTCTTTGGGTCTGCATAACGTAGTCGCAACGTATTGGATTATGTCGTCCTCGCCCAGGGGGGTAAGTTTGATGCGCGTGGCCACTGGGCCTCCTGACCTAGGGAACTCTGCACATCGTTAGTATACAGTGCTAATCTCTCGAGGGCCGAGAACTTACCTTCGGATTCAGGGGGATGGATAATGGACTGGACCCGCTCAGGAGACAGTTCTTCCGGCCTGTAAGTGATGATGACGACCATTTTCATCCGCGCCCCAATAATCTGACTAATCAGCTCCATTGACTCGTCGTCGGCAAAGTGAAGGTCGTCTAGCACGAAGCATATAAACTTGTGAGACGTAAACATGCGTAGCACATCAAGGAAGGTATTCATCAACCGCATTGTCTTCGTCGTTCCACCTGCTCGCAAAAAGTCCTGGGATGCCTGTGACGATATAACGTTGGGCTTCGTCAGGCGCCCGGGGGAGCTTCCTGGCGATGATCCGCGCCTTTTGAGGCCGGCTCTGATGCTCCGGGTCTGGGCCACGCTTTGTGTGATGGAGACGGATCTAGGAACCGGACTGTCAAGGGCACCGAGGAGAAAGTCAGGTAGCCCGAGGACTTTGTGGAGCGTCGGCCACACGGGACGAACATAATGCTTCAGTGCCTGGTGGAACTGCGTGTCCGTGTTCCGCTCGCCAAAAACCTGCTTAAACAGAGACGACAAGAGCTTGAGCAGCGGCCCAAAAGCAGTACGGCGAGCCGTGTCGAACTTGGCCGTGGCGCAGTAACCTCTCCGCCTGGCCTCTGCAAGTACAGACTGATAGAGGCAGCTCTTGCCGAGGCCACCGGCCCCTTCCACGAGAACGATTTCGCAGTGCCCGCGTCTCCGAAACTTGGCCGAACCAAGCTGGCGAGACAAGCTCGAGGATGTTGACTCAACAGCACTGAGCCGATTGCTGTCTGTGGGCGTGCTAATGCCGTCGGCAAGGCTCCGCGTCTCGATCGACACCGAATGATGCCTCTCCCACTGTCTATCCCACGGCCTCGTCATACGCCCAAATGGCCCCGAATTGGACGAGGCGATGGTGTCTGCTGATATTGTCTGAGTATCGGACAGAACGGAAGGCACGAAGCTAGCCTTTGACTGCCTAGGGTCAGAGGATGTAGTATGTGTGAAAGAGCCGCTACGGCGGGTGGTGCCTTCTGCAGAGCTGGCCCCTTCACTCGACAAGTCACCGCAGTCGGGCAGCTCAACCGAGAGTTGTGATCCATCTGAAAAGCGGTTATTTGTCGACTTTTGATTCATGGAGTGGCTCTTGGCAACCCGCTCAATCACTCTAATCACCTCTGCTCTCTCCTTCTGCCGCCCAATCATCATGCTGGGGAGGATGAAAAACGACGAGATGTCCTTTTCTCCGATCTTCCACTCCTTCAACGCCAACCAGTCGCCATCAGTCAGGAACTGCTGCACCTTGAGCAAGTCGTGCTTCAAACCGCTAGCCGAGTGGTATCGATCTGCGACGGTCTTTGCAGTGCATTTTTGGATGATGCGGCCTATGACGTCAGGTATGTCAAGCCGGACTTGCGATACGTTGGGAATCCTCCGTCCAAGAACGCCCTGTACGATATCCAATGGTGTCTCCCCCTCGAAGACAGGCTGCTGTGTGAGCAGGGTCCATAACACCACTCCTAAGGAGTAGATGTCGGTCCGGCTATCGGGTTCAGCCGGCATACGCCCTGTCTGCTCCGGGCTGATGTATAGAAGCTTGTTCTTGGCGCCCAGCTCTTTAGACAGGCTCGACCACGACGTACTAGACAGACCACCCTCGAAGGACCTCGTTCCAGTGCCAAAATTGATCAACTTGACAGAATTTGTTTCAATGTTGAAGTGGAAAGCGTCCGGCCGAATCTCCCCATGCGTCATCGCCTGCCCATAGTGGAGTATCTCAAGACACTGACTTGCGCCGATGGCAAAGTCGAGAAAGTACTGCAGGTCTATCGGGGGCTTCAGACGGAAGCTCGCCTTGCGATACGCCTCATACCGCTCGTCCACCTTCCTGGCCTTGTAGAATGCCGGTCCCATATCCATGAGATCAAACAGGTAGTTCTGGCCGGGGTGCTGGTAGATGGCGACAACAATGGACCCGCGGTCGCCTGAGTGGGGGGCGAGGCGGACGAGGTCGAGAGGCTTGACTATGTGGTGCCCATTGGGATCGGCCGTGGCGAAGAGGTTCTTAGCTATGTGGAACGCCCTTTCTTCCCGGAGCACATGGTATGAGACACGGGCAACAACGGGCTCCTCTATGTATGATATCTCAGCAGCGCCGGAAGGGATCGGCGGCGGCGGCGACGTGGCCGAGAAGTCACTACTGGCATCGCTTGGAATACCTGAGTGGAGGCTTGAGGAGCTCGCATGTTCGGAGGGCGACGGCCGGCCGGATTGTAGCCTCGCGGTCGAGCCGGGACTCGAGGCATGGTGGGTCGAAGAAGACGGCTGATAGGGCGACACGAATCTGGTGCCGCAAAGGTGCCTGTGAAGCGCATGTTAGGTATCGCGTCAGGGAGAGAGCAGGATAAAGGAGGCTATTATGCCTGCCGTAGAGGGGACGCACCAGATGTCGTAGGATGTGTGGAAGGGGAGCCGGGACTCGTCCCAGGTGTAGCCGGCGATCTGGCGAAGGCGCTCAAACAAGCGCGAGGGTGGGTCGAAGTGGTCGTCCGACCCGATGGCAGCGCCGTCCATCATCGGGGCCGGTCATAGGCGCAAGCCGGAGCTTGGAGACCGAGTATGGGTGTTGGTCGTGGTGGTGGTGGGGGTATATGAAAGGGATTGGGGCTTAGTCGAGTTTCGGTAGAGCCGTCGTCGTCGTCGTCGTCGTCGTCGCGAGAGGTAGAATGACAAAGGTCAAGTCGTGACGTTCATCTAGACACTACTGCCCAGGTCATGTTTTCATTGAAAATTCCGAGGCGTAGTGGAGTTATGACAATGGGGGTGGTTGAACGAAGAATTGTATGGCTTCGTATCGCTGGTGTTTTCTGATCGAGCATGCAGGGCCCCGCAACGGCCGAGTCTGCGCGCGCGCGGTCGGAAAGAGGTTCGAGGGGCCAGTTCTTGGCCTTGTGGTGAATGCAGAGGACAACGGTGACGGGCCCTCGAAGAACAAAAGTTCGGTAGGGAAAAGGCACGACGGGGCGATGCGTCGGAGAAAGCGTCGTCGGGCGACGGACGGAACGAGTGAGCAGCTGTCGTCGGAGGACGAGCAGGAAGTTGAAGTGCTGATGTTTAACCACTGATCAGTCGAGTGAGAGAGACGCAGCATGGGTAAGGGTGGGCAGGCTGAAGCAGCGAGCAGGCACCCCTGGACAGTGCAGAAGAAGAACAGGGCTTCCTCCCAGCACACCAGAGGACTACCTAGGAACCAAGGAACTTTCCCGGCTTGTACACCCTGGAAGCTGAACCGACCAAGACCAAAGACACCGCAAGGCAATGCAACCTCTCCGCTGCCGTGCGCTATTCTTCCAAGGCATGAAAGACTATCAAGTCCAGAGTTGCACTGAAGCGCGATGGTGTGCCTGCATTAACTCTCGGCCAGCTGTCTAACAGTGGGAGATGGAAAACACCTCATCAAAAGGAAAGGGGGGAAGCACTTTGAAGGACCAGGACGGGTTCAGCGTGTTCCACATAGTGGGCGCGCACAGAGTGTCAAACGCCGCCCCCATCAGTTCAAACAGCGAAACCTTGGTGCCGCTATTAAACACAAACAAGTCCCCACGCCGGCCAACGTCTCTCGTCCGTCTCTGCCAAGGGCTCTTAGTCAAATGATAGCTCGGATATACTCCGCGGCATAGGGTTACATATTGTAAGTACAAAGCGTACATCAAGCATTCTTCATCGGCACAGAAAATATTGATTGACAAAAAGTAACGAGCACGAAGGAAAACTGCCAATGTAAGCCCTTGTCACAGTAGTGGAGAGGAAACAAGCAAGCAAGCAAAACAATCTACAGGTACGTACTCTGTATTTGGGGACTCTGGACCCTCGACAGCAAGTCTAGCCGTCATTGCCGTTCCCTTTCCTTCTGACGCCTTCCACCAGCAGACAGGCAAACACATAGTTTAGGTACCTATTCATCATCAGCACAGTGGTAGCCGTTTGCAGTTGGCAATGATAGTCAGGCACCAGACAAGCAACCTCGGTTCCTCGTTGGCCAACTCGGACGTATGTGTATCGAATTTGGCCATCGGCGACATTAGCTAGCCGTCAGCAGTGAGTGAGTCGTCCCAATGGAAGAGGGGTTGGCACAGAACAGGCTATGGTTACCCGTCCGTCATATCAACTCTCCGCATCAGTGACAGGGTGACAGACAGGTGGGAATGACTTCTTCCCACCTCGCCCACTCACGCGATTTCTGCGTATGGATACGGACTCCCAATGTCTTGCCAGAACCCTTCCTCACACAGCCATTGGGGCTGCCGTGAAAAAGTGGACACCAAAGCTGCAAAACTTTCTTACTGTCTCCTCGTCTTGGTTGCAAGATGATCCGCATCCTTTGTTCCTTTTTTTTTCATCCGGGCTGTTTCTATCGTTTCTCCCCGTAACTTCTTTGCTTCGACCGGACTTTGGGTCCTGGTTTGCAAAAGAGGCCGTCAAACTGTCGACCGCTCCTGTCTCAACCTATACCCGGCCATCATCCCACATTTCTTGTTGTAGCTCCGAGTATCGAACGAGACCTGGCCCAAACAACAGTCAGCGCAGGGACTCGGTACCGGCTCTGGTTCCTACCTACGTAGGTAGTAGGTACATTACTTAACTAGGTACCTAGATACCAAACGGTAATCCCCTTCCCCAACGATCCGCGACTCATTTCCTCCAGCAACCCCCTGCTTCCCCTCGACTTCTTCCCAGTTCCCAGTTCTGGAACTCCCCGTTCTGGCTTCCCAAGACGATGGAAGTCTGAAGGAACACAAGATAGAAGCCTCCGTCTCATCCCTTCACGATCGCTGAGAACCTGAGTCGCGGCACACCTACTCCCAATTCTCTGGTAAACGATTTATACTTTCGTTAGCAATTTGTGACCAGTGAGAATGATGTCATTGGTGCTTTGTCTGTTTTCGGCCTGCGCTACCACCACCACCACCACCACCGACTTGCAGTTCCGTCCAAGAACATCAATGTCTGATTGCGCGTTTTACAGGAGAAGACACCCGTGTAATTAGCGTTGGGTCGTTTTCCTTTTCCGCATTCCTATTTTCGTCCAATGGGTACAACTTCTTGGCCCCAGGGTTGGCGCATTGTTATCAAGTACCCACAAAGACCCTAATAGCGATGGCCTTGTGGGAAGTGCAATAGTGTTCCCTCTTATTAAGACCCTGAGCCACTTTTCAGTATGGCGCAAAAACTTGACGGTTTCTGACGGGAACCAGAGCCGCATTGGGATGAACATGAGCCTCGTATTGACTAGCGATGGCGACTCGTTCCTTCCTGATCTTCCTGATCCTGGTGAGCCTCGTTGCTTGCTCACGTGAGAACCACCGAGGGCCTATCAGGGAAACAAGCATACAGATTCGGTAACACTTGGGCCGGACGCTAGTAACCGAGCCGCATCTGTTGGCGACGATCGTTAATTACCCGTCTGCCCTCAGCTGCCGCATGCGCGGGCCGAACTTATGCAGGTCTCACGGTCAACGTCGTTCTGGAACGATTGTGCAGAGTCCAACGTTCCGTGTATACTCTATTTAGGTATCCCGTTTGAAAGGACCCGTGCCTCCCGCGTCTAAAGTTGCGCACGACTGTTCAACATCATCGTGGGTATGGCGCAGCGAAGTGATTTTCCCCCAATTCAACAGCGCGAAACTCCCAGGTATTCTTGTATGCTTAGCCAAATCACCCTTCTCACTCCCCAGAGCTTGCTTCCTACTTCCATTGCTCATGCTCATACTTAAATGCTTTACAGCAAAAAGACGAAAAATTCCATGCGCTTTTTCCTTCCTCCTTACATGCCACAAGCTTACTTGCTGTGCGAGGGCAGGGCGCCAAATGCGAACGACTGTGCCAGGCGGCGCTCCTCATTCTTGCGGCTGTTGACGAAGTCGGGGTAGTTGAGGGTAAGCTCGACGGCGCCGTTGACAATGTTGTCGACAGCCTCGACACCGAGCATGAACGAGTGGTCCTGGTTGCCGACCTCGTATCTCCAGCTGCCGAAACGGCCGCGAGAGTAGATGCCCTGGTCAAGAAGCTTAGGCAAGAGATCCTTAAGGACACCCTCTCTCTCGAGCGAAGGGGTGGGGTAGCCGTGGTTGAAACGGCGGTGGTAGGTGGAGACGATCTCGTCCTCGGGCTTGATCATCTCGGTGTTGATGAGACCCTGGATGCACTGCTCGAGGATCTTCTCCTGGTCAACGGGCTTCATCGAGGACTCGGAGACCTCGAGCATGATGGACCAGTAAGGACCCTCCTTAGCGTCGGTCGACTCGGCCTTCTGGCCGTTGGCCAGGTACAGCGTGGGCAGTTTCTTGCCAGCCTCGGGCTGGTTGTAAGGAGAGTAGTTGGAGAAGATGGTGGCGCGGTAGAAGGGGCAGTTGTCCTCGGGGAAGTACAGCCAGCACTTGTCACCGATACGCTCGGGGCGCTCACCGCGGATGCCGACTCCGATGACGTGGGTCGACGAGTAGAACAAACCCTTGGACAGGCTGACGAGCTCCTGGTTGCCCATGCGCTCAACAAGCTGGTCGACGTTCATTGTCGAGACGAGCTTGCCGTACTGGACGGTGGTGCCGTCGGCAAGAGTAACAATCTTCTTGTCGGCATCGACCTTCTCAACGGTACCCTTCTGGCCGTAGCGCGTCTTCTCCTTGGGGAGGGTGTTGGCAACGGCAATCCAAATACCACCGGTTCCGTCGCGGGCGGGGAACTTGAAGGTAGCGTTGGGGCCCCAGTTTCCAGCGACCTTGTTCAGAACGACGTTCTCGGTGACGAGCTTCAGGTTGGGGGCGGCCACACGCTCGCCGAGCCACTGGCACTGCATCTGCAGGGGGTTAGCTCTCGCGTCCGGGCGAGTAGCGCGGGACTGCTTACCTTGGTCGTGGGAACAGCCCAGACCTTGTAGTTGTAGGGACGCATGAAGATGTCAGCGACACCCTCACCGCAGTTGCGAAGGATCCATTCATCAAAGTCCTTGGGCTTGGTGTTGGCGACACGGCACTCAAGGGCGGCGTCGATGAGGCCGTTCATGCACCTGACCTGGTCCTCCTTAGGCAGCATGGAAATGTTGTTCTGGAAGGGGTAGGGAACCCAGAGGCCCTTGTAGCGAACGTAGGAGATGCGCTGGTGCGTGAACCAGTCATCCTCCTTGGGGAGCGCCTCCTCGATGCAGTCGTCGAAGTACTTGTAGTGGGAAAAGATGACGTGGCCACCGACATCGTAGAGCTGGTTTTCAGTCTTGTTAGAAACGGTCGGTCGAACATAGCAAGACAAAGACTAGACTTACGAAGCCCTCGGGGGTAGTGTCAGTACCGGCAAGACCACCAGCTTTCTCAGCCGAGTCGACAAGCAACCATGAAGGACCGTTCTATAGTGGCAATTAGCATTGGACGTTTGGGGGTCCCAGAGTGACCGTGATGTGGCGGTGTGGACGCACAATCTGGTTCAAGCGCTTCGCAGCACCAAGACCAGTCGGGCCAGCGCCGATAACCAAAACATCAACGTTCCTGGGAGAGAGAGAAGTCAGCCGGGGTGTGGTTCTTCAACAACTACAATGGAATGCCAGATAGAGACGAAATAGCTGCCGCGGAATGAGTACCGTTGCGGTGGGCGGGAAAGATACTCACATGTCAGCCATGGTGGGGGACGTATGAGGTCTGCGTGGAAAATGCGAGGATGACACAAGGTCCAGAGCTAGACAAGAAAGACAGCGTCTCTTGGGGGGAGAGATCGCAAGATGGTGAGGCAAGAAGTTGAACCTGGAAAGAGAGCGGAGGGGTGTTTGGCAGCAAAGAGAGAAAGGAGGAGGGAAGGGCTGCGTGTTGGTGGATGCAGTGGCCGTTGCTGTAGATATGGGTTTCTGGTTTCGATGGGTTCCAAAGAAAAAGGGGAGACACTGACTGGCAAACTAGGTACCGTAGGTCTGTTGCGCTGGTGCCGCTGGTGCTGCTAGGTACACTGCTATTAGACTACCGTGCCTACTGCGGCTGCTGCTTCTCTTACTCTTACTTGGTCTTCCATCCTTCCTGCACCGCAACTGTGATGGAGGGGCCAAATTATTATTTGGGACAAGGGGTTTGGCGGGGCCCCCCTGGTCGACCGCGGCCATAAAAGTCCATCTTTCCTGCTGCAGGTACGTATCTCGGCTCTTAGTGCCAAAACCCGGGTACCTTAGGTGGTGTAGCTCCGTTCGGCTAAGACATGTCCCACAGCGATATCGCACAACATGAGGGCATTTGGATACGTACCTCAGTGGGGGTAGGGGTGGTGGCGTCGACTCTCTGGCTGGCCGTCTGCTGCTGCAGGTTCGAATTCTTCCTACACTACACTCACTACCAGAAGTCCTTGCTATGCCGAACACACGATGTACTTGCCTGCCTCTTGTGAGCACTTTTGCCTCATCCAAGACCTTTATCCGAGATACGGGCGAGACAGCCATGAGTAGCCTTTAACGTCCCTTACGTCGAGGTTTATGGCTTTGGCGCGCGGAAGACACGGGATTTTGTGACGTACGTACGTAGCAGAAGCTCTCTTCCTTGTTGCACCCTCTGACGGCACTTCCTACCGAGAAACAGTTTGCTCGATGATTAGCCGCTCATCCCTGGCTCTCTGGATGCCTGCGAACCGCAAACCTACTGCCGGTCCCTTGTGTCCTGCAAGCCAGCTTGCTTGTTTGCCCACCCCTCACTCAACCTCTGGACCCTGGGCAAGAGAGGGATGCAGCTATACAGTGATAAACTACCTGTATGTACAAGTCGCTGCAGGAGGGGGCAACGGATGACAATGTTACAGCCACAATGGTGGAGTGCCGGAAGCTTGCCTGCAACATAGAGCCAGAAACGACCGGATTTCAGGTCTCCAGCAGCGGCACCGGACAAAAAGTCCTGCGACCCACGGTTGGTTACAGAATCCAGACCGAGTTCGTGATTGGTTCTGCCGAATGCCAGCTTTGTGAGACCGGAGTATAGAGGCAAGGGAAGCTGGAAGTAAGACACACGACG